GTCTAACCTGCAATTGTGATTTTTGTAGCATATAATTTCTATGCAAAGCATTGCATTTATACTTGATACGATGATACATATTATGACTTAGTCTAAAATTTGCATCAGTGTTATACTTCAAAAATATTGCTCTCTTCTTCCTTGATTGATATATATCATTAGTTTTATATTTGGTCTTTTTAGCAGATATTATTTTAGATCGATACAAGTCGTCTGTCTTATATTTGGTCTTTTCAGCCAATATTCTTTTAGATCGATACAAGTCGTCTGTCTTATATTTCGTCTTTTTAGCAGATATTATTTTAGATCGATGCAAGTCGTCTGTTTTATATTTCGTCTTTTTAGCAGATATTATTTTAGATCGATGCAAGTCGTCTGTCTTATATTTGGTCTTTTCAGCCAATACTCTTTTAGATCGATACAAGTCATCTGTCTTATATTTCGTCTTTTTAGCAGATATTATTTTAGATCGATGCAAGTCGTCTGTCTTATATTTGGTCTTTTCAGCCAATATTCTTTTAGATCGATACAAGTCGTCTTTCTTATATTTCGTCTTTTTAGCAGATATTATTTTAGATCGATACAAGTCGTCTGTCTTATATTTGATCTTTTCAGCAGATTTTATTTTAGATCGATACAAATCATCTGTCTTATATTTATTCTTTTTGGCGGCTTTTTGTTTTTTCTTGTACAATTCATCCGTCTTGTATTTACTTTCTTTAAGGATTGGTTTTACCCTAGATAACCTCATTTTCATTTTCTGTTCTTTAAGTTTCGTTTTGAATCCAGTTTTCCTTGTTTTACCCCTGAATCTTGGAGTCACTCTTCTAGGTTCAATAGATACATCCTTGCATGATTTATTACCTTCTTGATCAAAAGTGTATAAAGCACTATTTATTCTTACTTTTTTGCTGGGAGGCTCTTCAATTTTTTTGTCAATTTCAACCTCATTAATATACTCAACATCTTCATAACTTTTATGAAAATCTTCAGTTTCAGCAAGTTCAACAACATTCTCAATAACTCCATTATTTTGGACAGATAACACAACATCATAATGTATTCCACCTGTATGGTTTATATATATACCTCTGTTTGTTGTAACCTCTCCCATTTTGGCTTTATTTCCACAAAATATATGCCAACATTTCAATTCTTCATCATAAATGTAAATATCAGTTTCCAGCAAATTCGCAGTTACTAATATTTCTATCTCTAATGCCCATATACCATATTCCATTATTCTTTGGCTTTTTGCATATTGTAAAACAGAAGAAAAAGTTCTTCCCAAATAACCAACAAAAATATCAGAATTTGTTGTGAGAAAATCTACTACCGCAACTCTTATGTCCATATGATTATCTTCAAAATTACAGATTGCATAGGAAATACTACGATAAAAGCAATTACCATCACCAATGATTGTTTTCAGTTCAAGTGGACACCCTAAACATTGATTTGAAATAACAGCATTAGCAGAACGAAGTAGATGTTTATGTGAGATACTCAATTTTGTACATAGCTTTAACTTATCTTGTTGTACAATGGGTTGAAAAAAAAGATTTTTTCTTGTATAACACCTAATACAACAACATCATCATTTTCATGTTCAAGTGATGAATCTTTGCTAGCAACTTCACAACCAATTTTTTCATCTTTGTCATTAATCATAATATTGTTCTGGCAAAAATTTGTTTTTTTATCTTTACAAGTAGAATGTACTTCATTAGAAAATTGCTGAGATTTACTTTTAGTCATTTTACCAGTGAAAGTAGGTATTTTATGCAGCTCCAGTTTCATTTTTTTAATTTGCACAACCTCTCCTTCATAGATCAAATTGGTATTACATGTACCTTCTATTCCTTCAGAATTTTGCATACCAGTATTACTGCCAACTTTACTACTATTATTTTGTATACTGTTTTTTCCGTTCATCTTATTATTTACTATACAACAGGTTTCTTCATTGGTGGATTTGTCAAGCTTCAACATAGTGTTTTTCTGAGAAATTACTTTACTTTCAACATGTGACATCAAATTTTCAGTGCAAAACATATCATTATATTTTTGCTTAGGAGACTTTTCATAACCAATCGTATAACTATCTTTGGTTTCACATTTCTGGGTATTAAGTATCTCAGATGTACACTCAAAATTATTTTCTTCAATCACTTCAAATGCAATATTTCTTTGTTTACATTCATTATCAGGTTCTTTATTACCCTCAACATGTATTGTATTTATAGTGCTTTCAATGCTTGCAATTTGAGTTTCTGTTTCAGGTTCACTTGTTAATAACTTCGGCAATTTTTCATTTAATGTTTGAGAGTCGCCTGTACTTCTATGAAGATCTACACCAGTCAATTCGTAACATGCATTAAGAAGACCAACATTCATAGACCTAGCTAAGGTTGTAATATGCTTGTAAACACCTTGCCATGATGATGTAAACATAAGAATGCTCTTGCCATCTTGAACTTGGAGGCCAGTCTTGGATCTCGAATGTGAATCAAAAATGCAATAACCATCGAGTGTGGATATGACAATGAGTGTGCTTCCATTGAAAGTGAAAAAACAAGCATCATGTTGACAAAGTTCTTGGGCAAGGGCTCGTTTCAAAATAATCCATTTATATTCAGGCATTTCTTTTCCAATAATGTAACCTTTGACTGGTTCTTTGTAATTCATTGTAAATACATCATCAAAACCTTCTAGAACTTCAGGCAGATTTGATATCAACAAAAAGTCCTGACTATTTTTATTGATCTTTCGAATGAGGCCATACAACTCATTGCCATGAACTAGAATATTATCTAAATCCTTACTGCACCAGTATTGTATATTCTTGATTCTGCTAAACATCACAGCTGACAAACAATTGGCCACACATTGCTTTCCACTATTTTCACCAAATCTATAATTTCCTTGATTGAAGTTTCCATGAACTAGTAATGCGGTAGAACTATCAACATTGGTGTTAGTTATGCCACCTTTACATTTGTCTTTTGTTATGCCTAAACCAGTAGATGTAGAAGCCATACAAGTATCATCTTGTTGCAAGCTTAACTTAGAATTTTCATATCCACACTCCTTTAAAAGAGATGCACACATACTGCTAGTACTGTTACAAGCCTGAACAACTTCACTTCCATTTACTTTCTTGGTAGTTTTATCCTGGACAAATACCTTGCCTTTTGTTTGTGGCACAGATTGCATTTGTTGATGTAAGCTTCTTTCATGAATGTTAGCGCACTCTTCCTGTGTGTTTACAGCATTTAAAGATATGGGGAAAGTACATGTATTACGTTGCTGCATATCTGATGTGCAACTTTCAAATGTAAACTCCTTCACGTGGGATAAACATGTAGGCTGAATACCACCAATATCACTATTACACTCTTTTTGGCAAGATGTTTGCTTCATTCTAGTACTGCTACTCTCCAACATAAATGCTTGATCTCTGTTTACATTCTCAGGCTTTCCACTATGTACATGTAGATCTACATGTACATGTATGTCATCCATGTCTTGTGACACAAACTGCATAGGGTAATCTAAGCATTCATCCTTGTTCTCAACTTTCTCTTCAATTCTTTGATTATCTTTCAAAGATGTAGGAACAGTACTTGTACTATACTGCTGCATGTCTGATATGCAGTATTCAAGGTCATACGTCTTTGTGCGGGCTGTGTCTGTCAGCTTTATTACATCACTGTCACTTTGCACACAACTTTCCTTATCACAATTGACTACATCTGTATTTACACTATTCTTCTGAACTCTGTCTTCCTTGTGCGAAACACAAAGCATATCTTCAATTGAATACTTTGGATCATGCTGTTCATTTACTGGAGACACACAGTTCTCAGATTTTCCTGTCGCAGTTGCACCCATTACTTCAAAGACGCCATTACACTGATAATTCATCGACAATGCAAGTTGAATGATGTACTTATGAACACCTTGGTATGACTTCGCATGCATCAAAATACTTGTCCCATTTCCTACATCGATTCCTGAATGATTACGAGAATGCGGATCAAAAATGTAGTAACCATCACACAAAGACATGACTGATAATGTTTCGTTTCCAAAATTAACAAAAGTTACATCACTTTTGTCAAGAGTATCTTCTAAAGCAGCAGTAAGAGGTAAACACTTTGCATCCTTCTGTTCATCTTCATGTTCAGTTACATATCCATTCACAGTTTCAGCATAGTGCACAGTGTACTCGTGCTTACCATCTTCTATATTGCATGGCAAATCTGATGTTTGTAACAAGTCATGGTTGCAAGCAGAAATGTCTGTAATAGACTCATAAAGGCGATTTCCTCTCAGAAGTATACCATCAAGATCATCTCTATTCCATGTACTTGGACTTTTTGTTTTCGAATATATCATTGACATTAAACCATTACATTTACACTGTTTTCCACTACTTGATCCAAATTGTTTGTCACTCTGATGAAAGTGCCCAGAAGCAACAAGACTAGTATCAAACAGGTTGCATCTTGTTTCAATGTCAGAACTTTCACATTTAGTATTAATATCACTTTGACATTTTGTTTCACTAGTTCCAAACAAGCTATTGGTTTGTTTCATTCCTTTATCATTAACTCCTTTTCTAATCTGTCTTTTTCTTACATGGTCTTTCCTCAAAATAACTGTACCATCTTCAGACACTTCAACAGTTCCCATCTTTCTTTTTCGATTGACCTTTGGACGATCCATCAAGGCATCATCAGTGTGAACGAAATTAGCTGACCTTTGACTTTGAATTTGTCTGCCTTTTTGATTTCTTCTCCTGTTTTTGACTCTAACCCAATCACATCCTTCAACATCATTTTCTATGTCACTTTTCTTATTGCCCTCCTGAATTCCAATTTCACTGTCTTTATTTATGCTACTACATTGATCAATCTCTACATTTTTCTCAACATTTTTCCTTCTTTTATCACCAGAAAATGTAGAACCTTTCAACTTTGTCATATATGATTTACCTTTCTTGTGTGGTTTCTTTGATTTTCTTGATCCTCCTCCAGACATTTCTTTGAGACATGTTCCAGGCGTTCTTTCCTGTCCACTCTGCACTGTGTACTCATCATGGTCAATAATGCATTCATCAATCAAGGAATCATAGTATCCATCATCTGAAAAAATACCGAAATTGTCAATGATACTACATGAGTAATTTGAGTACCCACAAATGCATATCCATACCACATTCAAATAATCTGTTTTTCCTTTACATATACCAGAGTTTATGAAGCAATCATGGTACCATCTCTTACACTCTTCACATTGCGTTTGACCAAATGTTTTCCTGTCAAATGTACGGCTTTCACATTGGCTTTTACAAATACTGTCTGCTTGTTTTATTCTGCATTCAATTTCTCTAGCTTTTACAAAAATACACAATACCTCAATTTCATCTATCAATTCTTTACATTCCGATGTCAAAAAAGCCATGGCTAAAGTTCAGGTCATTTGTTTGATCTGGATTCCAATATGAACAAGATTAAAGGTACTAGATATCAACTTTCAGGTATTAAATATCAACTTTCAGGTAGTAATTATCAACTTTCAGGTAGTAGATATCAACTTTCAAGTATCAAATATGAACTTTCAGGTATTAAATAGCAACTTTCAGGTAGTAAATATCAACTTTTAGGGACTAAATATCATCTTTCAGGTATTAGATATCAACTTTCAGGTATTATATAATTTCAGATTCAGATATAAAATCAACTTTCAGGTACTACATTGTATATCAACTTTCAGGTAGTAGATATTAACTTTCAGGTATAGAAATCAACTTTCAAGTATTGGATGTCGACTTTAAACTAAAGAAGTTCATTGAAGCTTTTCCAAAAATGCTGTATATTAAATTCAAATTATCTGCAAATGCTCTCCTCTTCCTGCTTTCCTTTCTTTTTAATTGGTTTGACTTATTTTTAGATGTTTATTTGTCCTCTCACATACTACAACCTTGATTTTTCTTACTCTCTCCTCAGTTTATTTCTAAAGTTTCTCTTTGCTTCCTTTTCAGTTCTCTTAATTTCAAAATTCTCTTTGGGTGTTTCTTAGTTTGTTTCACTTTTTGAGACTTGTTTTTGTTTTCTGTTGCTATCTTTTTAGTTACTTTAAATTCCTCTATACTTTAATTAGCAATTACTCTCAGTCTGTCTTTGCTTTAGTTGAATTAACAACCTTTGTCATAGTTCCTCAACGTTTCTCTTTGGTTTTTTCTTGCTCTTTATTTACTTCTTTTAACTTCACTTTTTATTGCTTTCTATTCAATTTCTCTTAATTTCTGGAATACCTCTTTGATTCAAAAATTGATCTCTCTATGATTGCTTTTTCTATAATCTTTTGTTTCAGTGAATGTATGACAAAATTTCAGTTTAAAGAATACATTCAGCGTAGAGAAATTCAGTCAATGTAAAGAAGAACATTCAGCATAAAGAAATACCATCAGTGTCAAAAATTCAATCAGTGTAAAGAAATTCAATCAGTGTAAAGAATTTGTTCAGCGTAAAGAAATTCAGTCATTGCTTCAGGCAAGTACAAGGGTACAGGCCAAGTTACTAAGCTCAAACATGAAATGTCTTAAACATTAAACAATTGCTTTTGCCTATAGCAACCTGTACTTGGCACACCAACTGCGTAGCTCAAATCAGTGGATTACTGCCGATTGCCAGACAAGAAAAAAACAAGGATAGAAAGTTACGAACACATAACAAACACACGACACAAGACAATAAAAAAGACACAAGACAACTCAAAGAATAATAGTAAAGCTTCAACACAAAACAATTGCTTTTGTCTATAGCAACTTTCACTTGGCACACCAACTGCGTAGCTCAAATCAGTGGATTACTGCCAGTTGCCAGACATGAAAACACAAATGACACAAAAAATACAAACAAAACAAAAGACAAAACTCCACGTAGCTATTACACACCTCAGAGAAATGGTCAGATCCAACCTAAAGGGAAAAAAAAGATAAAAACAGATGTAAAAGATACACTATTTATTAAAAAAATGCTATTCATTTAACCAGCATTATGAATAGCAACCTTATAAAAAGTGGTCTTTATGAATAGGGGGGGTTAATTTGTCAATGGTTTACTCGCTATACTGTCGTTGAAATTTAACCTTTTTATTTTTTATTTTTTGGCCTGCATATAATGGGACATAGACTACTGACTAGTACCTTTAAAGTCAATACTAATACTATAGTCTTTCTACTCCAACCATACTTACAATTACGTGTTGATGTTCTACGAAAAGTGTGTACCGGTAAGCTCAAAATTGAGTGAATATCAGCAACTGAAAGATAAATTCAAAATAACAAACATTGTAATAAACAAAACGATAACATTTACTTTCATCAACATTACTGGCTGTAACTGCCAATTTTGATAAACAAAACATGCAACATAGACTCTAGACTAGACGTATAATAAATGTTTGTCAAAATATTGACAATTTAAAGGAAAAAAGTCTTATTTTAGTAGATGTTATGCGATGTAACCATGGTTTGGACTGGGCTGAGCGCACACATCCCTTAGCCGATCCAACAAATAGGGGGAAGGGTATTTTTAAATTTTAAACTGTTTGTTGGGGCGAGTGATCTCTTGCCCGTCTTGGGGCTAGCAAAAAAATAAGTGCATAGATATTTTGCTTACGTCTAGCCAGATATAAGCCCGGGGAGGAGCGCGGTTCAGGAAAGTGGCAAATTTTGGAGCTAGGACTCAGTAGGCCTAGGAGTGTATCTAGATCTAGTAGGAATAGATTCTAGATCTAGATTCTACTTCTAGTTCTACTCTAGGATGCAAACAACATTTCAATCGCTGTTTTGACCAAGAAATGTTTAGAATTTTGGGGGTAGCCCCCTAATATGGGGAATATGGAGAGTAACCTGCTCTTTCATATGACACCTCATCCATTGAGTTTCACCTTCAAGATCACGAGGAATAAAGCCAGGTTTCAAATTCAATTTATATAAAATCATCGACCAATTTTCATGGTCGCGCAATGCACGTAGACTGCATAGCGATAGGCTACGTGCGATCTCTACGGGACGGATTTTAGACACGGTACGGGTGCGCGATCAGACACCCTATATACCCCTATATATTGTACGGTACATAGAGTCTAAGTATATCTTAAATAAAAACATTAGTTAATTGTGTGTTTATTGTAAGTAAAGAGAAAACTTACCGCTAAGAAAATGAAGTAAACTAAGTAGAATCTAGGTCTAAGACACGTACGTCTGGGCTCAAGCTGACAGAACCTAATCGTGAAAATTAGCCCCCAAAATAGAATTGATCTTTTGCTCTTCTTCTTCTGTTTTGACTCAATTGCAATTTCAGTTGTGACTATTGTCGCCAAAATACTCGACGTCACATGATTATATGTCTCAATTTTTAATTTGTTAAAACATTTTATTCTAGATCTAGATCTATATTCATCTATCTTTTAGGATATATCGAAAAAAAAGTATCGTACAGTTTTGTGCAACTCACCAAATTGACCATACTCCCCCACTCAAATTTCAAGTAAGATTTCGTTGGCCCTGCAGCCACTGAATTGGGTAGATCAGTGCCTGCAGCGCGCCCTTGTCTAGACACTATGGTATCGCACAATGAACAAAATACATTTATAAATCGCCGGTAACCCAACATTTTTCTCTTTCTTTAAATAAAATATTCCACTTACTGTCTTTCCATATGTTATTCTTTGTTTCTTTCCTCTTTCATCTCCTCTTATGTTAGTCTTTGTTCTTCCTTCGTTCACTTCTGATGTTATTCTTTGTATTATATTTTTTCTTTTTTTTCTTTCTATCTTCCGTCATGTTAATTTTAACTTTCCTTCTATCGTTTTTCTTTCTGTTTTTGTTTATGTTATTCTTTGTTTTTCTATTTTTCATCTTCTTTTCTATCTGTCCATTATATATTCCTTATCATGTTCTCTTTCTTTCTCTAATTATGATGTTCTTTTTTCTCCTTCTATTATCCCTAATAGCGTTGTTATCATTCTATCACTTTTCTTTCTATCTAATTTCCCCATGTCAAATAGGGTATCTGCATATGATATAAATATTCCTTAGTCAAATTAGGTACAATTACCCTTTCAAATGATATTGGTCCTTTATTCAAACTATAAATAGCTAACAAAGATGTCAAAAAAACAAATAACCACAACAATATCATCTTGTCAAAAGCAAAACAAAATGTTCAATGTTCGTGCACAAATGTAAATATCTGCTATAGCTTTAACATTTCTATTCATTATAGATTTAACATTTCAAGATGCAAATAGCTTAAATATGCCCACATCTCTGCTAAAACTTTATCCCTAAAAAAACATGAGAGTCATTGCACGCACATCGTTCCGACACGATTGCATTTCTAGTATTCTCCTTTTCCTTTTCCTTATCCTTATCCTTATCGTCAGGAAATCGCATTCGTTTTGCACGTAGTGTTTGTGATTCCTAGTTAGGTGCTTTCCTCATGTCCTTTTCCTTTCAAATTTCATAGGCATAGTCTCTAACATCTCATCAAGGTCACTACATTCTTCGATTTTGGAAATCACTCATGCATGACCGTCCAGGCGCCATTTTGTCCGTTTCTGGTCCATTTTAAGGCCTTTATATCTTCCTTCCTATCTCCACTATCCTAGATCCTACAAACTTCTAACAAATTCCTCTAGATAGTCTGAGAGATGTTCTTTCATCTGCGACATATGACTTGACCTTCAAAATGCCATCTTCATACTCGAAATTCAAATCTAAAACCGACTCCGTCAAAAATCTCTCAAGTTCTTGAAAAATGGACCCCTAAATAATCTAAAACTGCCATAACTTTCTCATATAAATTCCGTTTTGTATTTAAATCTCACAGTATCTTTATCTCATAATTGCACATAGCCATGCTAAATTTCACGCTCCAATGGCTTTGCACAACATAAATAGCGCCCTCTAAAGTTCTGGGAATTGGCTTTCTCTCTGTGGCCGTATCTCCATAATGGCTTGGAAAACCCGTACCCTTTTTTGGATTTAGATACTTGAAGATATGCCCTTTCCAGCCATATACAAAATTATATACCCTATCACTGACCAAATTTGAGAAAATTGCCCTCTAAATTCGCCATTTTCAAGAAAATTCCGAAATAACTTCAACTTGCTCTAAAATGGCGATCTTTATACCTACATCAATGAAACTTATCAGACATATGTATCCATATACGTGACAACTTTTTGCCAAGTTTGGTAGAATTCAAATATGTCAGCGCAAAGTTATCGCCCAAAATGATGAATTTACTTGTCTATGGGGCATATCGGGTTCACGCTTTTGGCCCCCACAACGAACTTGATTGCAATGTCAAACATGCACCAAATCCCATTGGTTTGTGCACGCAGTGCTTGCGAGCCCTTTCTAGGTTCTTTCCCCTATCCCAATTTCTTTCAAACTTCGTAGGCATAGTACCATCCCATCAAGGTCACTGTTGATGCCTTTCTTTCGCCCTACCTATCTCCAATATCACAGAAGCTACAGACTTCATGCAAATTGCTCTGGATAGTCCGAGAGAAGCTCTTTCGTTTGACACGTAGACACACGGCGTCATTGCACGCACATCGTTCTGACACGATTGCATTTCTAGTAATCATTTTCGTATCATTCTGTCGGGAATGACATCAAGTAAATAATCATTTTCGTATCATTATGGAATGAAAAGAGTATTCTTTTACACTATTGTGATGTAATAATAAACTGATTGTGACGTCATGGCAAGCGCGCATCGGTATGATAAAATAAAACAAATAACTTGACTTTCCGCGTACGCGTGTGCAACTTTTGAGAGTTCTTTGGATACGCGCTCGCAGACTTAGCGCGCACATTTCTTTTTGTTATTAACCACAATTCCTCGGTTAGCAAACGGTGAGCGTACGGTGAGCAAACGGTGAGCAAACGGTGAGGAACCGAAGTTGGGCGTACGGTGAACGGATCCTCGCCGTTCACCGTACACAGTTCGGTGCGGTTTACGGAGCGGAACCGATGCCAAAACCTTTGAGCGGTAGTGTATATGAATTTTGAAGAGAAAAAAAGAAGATTTTTTGGAACCCTCTCTTCAAATTGTTTTTAATCACTTATGCAGGAAATATACATCATATGAGTTGCATCAAATGAAAGAGGAGGATCTAAGCTTTAATCGTGATTAAGTTATGATAAAACATCGATAATTCTCAGTTTCGTTTTTATGGGACGCACTGTATATTAAAGTTAACGCCCTTCTGGCTGTCAATAAATGATACATATAATTATTATCGATATCAATCTGTGAGTATTCAAGCCCAAAGTATTATATTTGTCATACAGGAATAAATAGCATCAATCGATATTACATACATTTACACTGTATCATATATTGAGAGTGTAGTATGTACATGTATATGTACATGTACATGTATGTGTGGTAGCCTATTCTTCAGTGACGTATTTTACCATCTGAGTAGAAGTCAAGGATAAATTTGCCTCGTTCTCCATGTATTGTAGCCTTTATTGATGCAGTGGGTTGGAAGCTAAATAAATGTAGCGCGTTAGAGAATAGAAGAATCATATTTTGTAGTGATGGGTGAAATCTGAAGGAAGTTGCAAAAACATATGAAATAAAGGAATGTATACCGTACATACCAATCAGAAAAAGTCTGTGTGTAAATAAATAAAATTGGTTTGCAGCAAATTGTTCACAAAATATTGGTGCTACCATGCTTTGTTTTACTTTTTTACTTACCTTACAGGCGCGTAGCAGGGGGGGGGGGGGGGGGATGGGGGTTGACCCCCCCCCCCTTTAACTTGTTTTAAAGTGTGTGTTTTTTATGAAAACCTCCCCCCCCCCCCCCTTGGTTTGGTGAAGCTGAATATGTAATGGCATCTGTATCATAGTTGTAATGCTTTTCTACTGCTTCAGTCTGAAATGGGAAGAACCGTACAAGTAAAAACTGTGATGGTATTCATGGATTAGAATCATTAGACTGAATTCTACAGAATACCCCTATATTGTATGGCTTCGCATCGTTAGTGGTTTATAATTATAGCGCTTTGGGATTATTTGTGGTACAGACACATTTTATATACATGTAGATGTACATTGTACATGTACATGCAGACATTTTGTTTGTACAGTAGGCGCACATCTAACTGTTCAATGTACATGTATGTATGTATACAAAAAAGGACAAAAATACACACATACACAAAAACATTCACTTCTTGATCATAGCCTGGAGTTACATCATATTCTGAAGAGAATTATTGTTTGATGCTACATGTAAAATTTCATATGTTTGGAATTAGAAGGGCATTAAATCTAAAGTGTTAGAGCCCTTATCGCTCTCAGCGGACGATTGATAAAGGTTGGTGTCTGATCAAATGAAATTTAGGCATATATACCGGTAGGCATCTCCCTTTTTGACAGTTGAGTCTGAAGTCAAGGAGAAATTTTAATCAGTACATCGAGATCAGAAATCATTTGAAAATAGGAAATATATGCAATGCTTACATGTGTTTTGGTCAAGAAAAGTATCTCATATGCCTACATGTACATGTACCTGCATATAGTGTACAGACGAAAAATTATCTCAAATGGAGTATTTTGATACATGTGTACATGTTGACCTACATGTATAGTACATGTGTGTTTTCATCTATTTTTTGTAGCTTGCTTCTCCTCCATCGCCATGCCTGTTTACATGTACATTATATCTCAATCGTCCATTGATCTTACGTATCGTATCGGCATGGCAGGCGTCGTGGTCATGTGATCGGCGTGACTGATTGATTGGCGTGATGAATCTCTCCTCGGGCGATGGCTTTCTCATATGGAGGCTTGCTCTCCTGAGGTGGCTGCCTAACTAATGAAAATCTGTTGGCCGCCATAAACAGCTGTGCGGCGTGTACATGTACCGGTATGTCCGTGGTGGCCACTTTAAAAACAGATAATTTGCATTTGTATGAGGACTATTTTATGGGTGGGATGCATATTGCCTGCAGTATGTAAAGTCTTTCTACATGTAAATGTGTTATTTACTGTACATTCCTAAAAAATAAAGAAATGCATGATCATATTTTTCTCGTTGCAAAAGTTCATGACCCCAATAATTGAAAATAGAGGTGCTACAGCAATGGTATGCGCTATTTAAGAGCACTGTAGTACTATTATTATTGTTGTTGTTGTTATTGATTATTATTGTTATTGCTAGTTATCATTATAATTGTTATTGTTTTTATTACTATTATTATTATTGTTATTATTATATTCATTAACCAATAATGTGCAAAGCCTCTTCATATGGAGGATGAACTTTGCAGGCACAAACCTTTGTCA